CACAGAGAGAGAGAGAGAGAGAGAGAGAGAGAGAGAGCTTTACAGCAGGAAGTCTTACTGGAGGCTAGTAAAAAGAGCATTCTCTGGTTCCATGCCAATTCAATCAGAGAAAACAAGTTTTAAATTTTTACTCTTTTATCTTTTGATCAATTTATCTTTGTGATAAATTGTCCATATTCCAGACAAGAAAAAGAGAAAAAGGTAGAACTTTTAGCCAATGACACTCTATAACTTTAAAAATATGACTACAATTTGGTAACAAAGCTATAAAGTGAGTTCCAGGCCAGCTAGGAATACATAGTGAGAGAACAAACAGAAAACTCTGACTCAACAAAGAATGTGTGCACATCTGTGCACTTACACACACACGCACACACGCACACACATCTTGTGGCAGGAAAAACAAATGCTGCTTAGACTCATCCAACTGAGCACCTGCACTCCTTGGCTCAAGCCTTACCGAAAGAGCTTTCCAGTCTGATGAGCAGCCTGTCCCCAAGGAACAGCTCCCAGTCGGAGGGAAGAGTGGGCTGTCACTTGACGGAACATGTGTCTCAAAAAGCAATTTCCAATCATCTAAGTTATTAAAGAATCCTGGGAGTGATGGGGTTATGCAAATGGAGGTGGCACACGCTACAGTCAGCATCTTTGAGGTTTCCGAAAAGCATACACTATACACTAAGTTAGTCACTGTCCTTTTCTCTCCTCTCTCTCTCTCTCTCTCTCTCCCACTTCATCCCCACCTCCCTCCTCCCTCTCTCTTTCCCTCCCTCCCTTTCTCTTTCTCTCTCTCTGTGTCCTCTACCTTGGGGCCTGCAGGATCTATGATTCCAGTGATTCGTATTCATCTTAGTGAACAGAACACAACAAGGCATTACCATCAAGACCCTACTGTACCTAAAAGCACAGGATCTTCTTTCTCTGTCCTCCCAATCACAGTAACAAATTGCCAGGTGGTACCCCAGGGGTCAAGCTCATGGTTAGCATGTGCCCAGGACTTGGGTCCAATCCCTAGCACAATAAACAAAAACAAAACAACAAACATAACTAAAACCACTAGAAAACAAAGCACAGCATGGCAGCATTTCTGGGACCTGGTCGGTGCTTACCCAGGTTCTTCTGTGCTTAACCAGGTTCTTCTGTGGCTCTGTAACTGTAACCCACCTCATACTAACCTCATTGAGCACCCCAAATGTGGGTTTGCCTATCATTGCATTTCCCCTCCTTTCTGGACTGTACCTCAGAGTTCCACACTCATCTCCACGTTTCCATGTCTGAATATCTCGCAGGCATCCCCAGCCTTGTGTATCCATACAAACTCAGCAGCACCAGGAAGCTCCCACTCCACATCACCAATACCCACCATGCCTATCCTTATGTGTCTTTCAACCGGGGATGACGTATCTGACTGTCCTTGGGCTGTATGTCCTAAAGAAAAATAACAGTAAAAACCCTTCTCCTGTGCTTCCTTGCCTCTAGCTTATCCTCTCTACAGATACACTTGTCCAAGCTTTTTACCCAGAGTTCATTGTTTTTTAAGCCATAAAAGCCCTAACATGTTCTAGACAAGCTCCTCATCACACATATGACTTAAAGCTATTTTTTCCATTTTCTTCTCTTGGTTTGTGAAGGTGCATGTTCCAGAGTGTTCACTGTCTCATTCTACTGCTCTCAGCCTTATTTCTTTTGAGAGGCAAGCTCTCCTGCTGAACTTGGACCTTGCATTTCTCAGCTAGGCTGGCAGCCAGCATGCCCCACTGATCCTTTTACTTCTGCGCCCTCGGTGCTGGGATTACAAATGTGCACAGAACTGAACCTGGCTTTTTTTTTTTCCCTATGTGGATGCTGGGATCCAAGCTCTGGTCCTCATGACTGCACAGCAGTTCTTGACCTCTGACCCCCTCTCCAGCCCTTTGACTCTCTTGCTCCTTCACTTTGATAAACAGAAGCTTTTAATCTTGGGGAAGGCCACTTCATGTATTTCTCTCTTATGACTTTGCTTTTGATGTTGTATCTTAGAAACCACGCACCATAGAAAAGAGTTAAGCTTACATTTTCATCTAGTTTCTTGTAAGTTTTCAATCACTTTTAAAGTCGCAGCTCATACATTATGCTTTCGATTTGTCATGAATTCTTGCAATATGGTGTGAGGTATGAACTCACACTCATCCTTCTGCATGTGGACAGTCAGCTGTCACTAAAGACACTGCCAGAAATCAATCAACACAAGTGTATGGATTTGTCTCTAGACCTTCAATTGTACCCCTATGAGTCTGTATTTCCAAGGCAATGCCCAGTCCTGATTACTGTGACTCTGTAGTAATTTTAAATCAGGAGGGTGCTTTCTGTTTTGTTCTCTGGCCTATTGTGGTCATCCTGGGTCCACTGATTTTCCACATCAGTCATAGTATTAACTGCAAAGGATCCAACTGAAGTTTTAGAGAGACTAAATCGAATTTGTGGATAAAAGTTGGCAAGTGCTTGAATTTTGGCTTTCTTTTTGTTATGAGACAAGGCTTAAATATGTTGCCCAGCCTGGGCTTAAACTCACCACTCTCTCTGTCTTCATGGTCTGCATGCTGGGTTTGCAGCATGTACCAATCCTATCCTACTAGAAGTATTAAGTACTTTTATAATACCAACTATATTTATTAATGAATATGGAATGTTTTCACAATTGTTTATTTATTTCACTAATGTCCCATAGTTAACAGTATTCCCTTTGACATCTTCTGTTAAATTTATTCCTATTCTTGTCATACTATCACATAAAAAAACTTCATTTTACATTATTCATTTAAAGTTTAAAAATACGACTGACTTTTTGTTACATTGGTTTTATGCCCTATATAACCTCATGAACTTGCCCACTCTCTCTCATACTCTGATGGATTCTTTACATAAAATAATGCTACTGCACACAGAGATAGCTCTGTTTTTTCCTTTCTAATTGGATAGTCTCATATTTCATTTCCTTGTAAAACCTGCCCTGGCTACAACCTCTAGCACATACACTTATTAGTCCTCTAATCTAGTTTTGAGAAACTAATCCCCCGGTATAGCAGAGAGATGGGAACCAAGAAGATGGACAAACCAAATGATGGACAGATGGACAAATGAGTGGATGGATGAGTAGGTGGACGGATGGATAGATTAGAGATGTTATTAGGGATTCTAGGTCTTTTGATAATGAGGATTAAGTCCACAATGGGCCACCTACAAGCTGGAGAGACCCAAGGATGTCTAGTACATGGCTCAGGCCAAGTCCAAAGTGCTCAGAACAGAGAATGCAGTGCTGGACCTCTCAGTCCAGTTGGGTAGGAAGTCTGAGAACTCCCAGGGCTATGGCGTAGGACTTGAGTCTGAAGGTCCTGGAGTTCTGTAATGTCCAATGGTTGAAAATAAGGGTATCCCGACTCCAGAAGAAAGAGGACATTAAGACCTCAGCCTTCTTCATATATCTGGGCTCCCAGCTGATTGGAAGGTGCTGCTCACATGGACAGCAGATCTTCCTCATGCATTCTACTGGCTCACAAGCAAATCTCCCAAAATAACACACACACACACACACACACACACACACACACACTCACTCCGGCTTGCCATCTATTTAGGATCCTTTCATTTAGTCAAGCCTATAAATTTAAATTAACTAGCACACATCCTCGAGGGCAGTGATGAGGACGCACATCCCCTCAGATCTCTGCCATGAGGGGAAAGCTTTCTGCCCGTTCAGAGTGAACCAGCCACGGGCTTTGTGCTGATGTCCTTTCAGGTGAAGAAGTCCCCTGCCAACACCGACTTCCTGGGTGTCGTTAAACACAATGAAGCACAGGACTCAGTCCTATCCCACCCTCTTACCCTCTGCCTACCTTCTGCTTAGCTCGCTACTTCTCACACATGTGAAGCCTCTACAGTATGGCATTCCATCTCTCCCCAGCTAGTCATCATATCAGCCTTCAACTTGGGTCAAAGGATTCAGCTCTTTCGATTGTGTGAACAAATCTGATGGCATCTGTATACAGTCTGGCCTATCCTTGTCACAACCGTTTGTATGAGGCAGATATGATTACCCATGCTCTGTAGGCAGGAACTGGGAAGACAGAGGCTACATCAACTCAGTATTAAAGCCATGCCATCTAGGTCTAGGGGTCATTCTCTCTATCCCTTGTATATTAGTAATTCCTTGTTTGCTTGTAGTATTTACATTCTGCATACAGTGCTGCCAATCCCATTTATAACTATAGCCTCAGTGTCCGTCATCACTTGCGGCTGATTTTCAGATGTCGAATTCATACATGGGATGCTGGTCACAAGCCACAATTTGCATAGGATTGTGGCAAGCACTGCTGACTACACATAGCCACGGAGACTTGCAGGGTCCATTAGTTCTGAGAAAGACCAGTTATTCAATAAAATGTTCCCTAGTCATTTGACAACACTCCCCCCTCCATGCCCACTGCATGAGCAGCCTGGAATCTGTGCTCAAGGAAACATTCAGAGAAACACCACCTTGAGGTAGGCCAATAACAGCCGCAGCATACGCCTCTACCTCCCTTTCTGCACTGGCTCTGTTCCTTTATAAAAAGTCTAAAGTAAGATGAGCTTGATGGGATGTACCCATAATCCCAGCATTCACGACACTGAGTGAGGCAGGAGGATCATGAGTTTGGAGCCATCCTGGGTTATACAATGTGTTTATTTTAAAAGCTAAAATGTTCAGATCAGAGGCAGTCAAAGCTCTTTGAGGACCACAGTTCAGCTCATAAGAGCCACTCATAAGTCCTTTGACTTCCCTTTCCTGGCAGTCCCAACTGGGGCAGCGGGATACAGGACTGCTGAGAACTAATGTCTCTATTAGTTAGAGACACATGCTCACTCCAGAGTGGCTTACACTTCTTGGGGCCACCCTTCACTGTGTGCCTTCATCTGCTCGCAGAAAACAGGCCAGCTCTGTCTGTGCTATTTCCAAAATGTGTGTGTCTGCCACAAAGACTCACCTTAACAGTTAAATCATGGCTTCAGATGCAGACCCCTTCACCCTCGCTTGGTCTTCCAAGTTATCTACCTGTGCTCTCTGGCAAAGAGAGAAAGAGAGAGAGAGAGAACAAACTCTTAGGTTAAAGTCTAAGAAAACAAAAACAGCAAATAATATAACACCCCCTCCCAACACTCAGCCCTTGGCTGCAATTACAGAGCTCAGACATAGGAATAAAAGGAGACCATCCCGCTTCACACACTTTCTCTGAAACACATGGAGACCTGGAAGCAAAAGGGCAGATGGCCTCTTCTGGAAGTTATATGTCACATCCAAGAGGCCCTGACAATTCTGGGTCCCTTAGAGGAACGGGTGGGTGTTGGATGCACAGAGGCAGGGCAGGCCACCTAAGGCATTCACAGAGGGCAATTTAGAAAACTGTCTCTGAATACTTGTATCCAGGGTGGGACAATCTTGAACACTTAGTTTCCTCAAAGGTTGGTGAGTATGGAAACAGCCAGCATATCTGTACTAGAAGGTTCTAGAGTAGAATGATCGTCAACATACACATCTCCACACATCTTGTGTAGCAAGGTGTTGAGTGTGATGACAGATAGCGAGACCGGGAGAATCATCAATCACATTTGGCATGGGAGAGTGCCCACGTGGCATTCTGATGGCTCAGCTGGGAGAGGTGCTGACACAGCAAGGCTCCTACCCCAAGATGCAGAGCAAAACCAAGGCCATAGGTCCACAGTGATGGACAATGTTTTCTGGAGGCAGTGTTTCCCTGTAGGCTCCAAGCTATTTCTATCTATTTCATGGCAAGTCTCTTCACCGCTTCCTGTATCTGCTTTTGAAATTGTTAGGAAGGCGCTTACTTGAGCACTGAGTGCTCAGCAGGCTGAAGATGCCCCAGCACCACAGAGGTTCCAACTCATGGTAGAAGTGTGCTCTAGCTGGTATCTAGAGAATGGGGCTCATTTCTAGAACCAGAGGCAGACAGCTTGAGCTGAGTAGAAGGCGGCTGGTAATCAATCAGTCCGTGAGAAATTTCCACGGGGTAAAATAATTATCACTACCACGTGGTGAAGTTCAGACAGCCATTAACTAATTACCTGAAGCCACAAAGACTGCTGTGGTGCATATGAAAACAGACCACTCTTTGTATGTATACATATATAAAATCATGGTCTCTCTTTCTCCACAAATCTATTTAGTACTAAACTGCTTTGGAGACCTTATAAAGTGGGCTAGACCTATCAGAGACTGTCTTTCCCCCTGGGGCTACTCCCCAGTGCCCTAAACTATGGAGGAATGTGGCTGCTTTGGAAGAGGAGTGAAGAAAGCGGTCAAAACAAAAAAAGAAAGACAAGAGAGACATTCGCATGAAAAGAAGGGAAGGGGAAGCAAGCCACAGGCCAGAGAAGGCAGCTCTCATCTCTGCCCAGATGACACATCTGCATCTGGCCACCTCCCTACAGAGCCCGAGAACAGGGCCCTCTAAACTTGCTGTGCAGAAGACACTTTGGGCTGTAAAAGTATAGGTTGAAAAATCCTTCAGTGAAAATCAGTAGCCTAGGTACCGAGAAGGATTCTGAAAGCTGACAGGCCACTGGTTTGTTGCAGGAATGCAGTTTGCTCAAAGACAAAAGGCAGATGTGGTAACTAACCAGAGAAACTTTCTCAGCACCTGTAGCCACTTCGTAGGGCAGCATGTGGTGGTGGTGGTGAGGGAAGTGGCTCACTGTAGTGGGACAATGTGGGAGAAATAAAAGAGCAAAATCAAGTTTAGTGACAGGTAGAAACTGAAAAATCTAGTCAAACTCATATAAAGACTGGGGGTAGGGGGAGGGGAAATCTAGGAAAAAAAATTGGACCACTGAGAAGAGACTTCCTAGTGTGGTTGAAATGAAAAGGGAGGAGAGAGGCTGGGGAGCCAGCTCAAAGGTTAAGAGCACTTGCTGTCCATGAAGACTCGGGGTCCATTCCCAGCACCACTAGGTGGCTCACAAGTGCCCACAACTCCAGTTCTAGGGGATCTGACACCCTGGCTCTGTGGGCACCAGGCACTCAGTGAGATACATACATACACGTACGTACTCATGCAATAAAAAAAAAAATGAGAAGAGACAGACTTGAATGTCGGGGCCACGAAGAAGCTCCTGTTTGCCTCTCTGGGGCCACTCCCTTCTTTCTCAAGGTATCCCCCACTTTCTATACTAGGTGTGCCTGTCTGGGAAGGGTAAGAGGCCTAGCTTTAGGGCAGGGTTTCTATCTAAAGGCTCATTGGGTTGACAGAAGCAGTTGTCTACAGCATATGGATGCTTCCAGGGTATTGGTTCATGTACTTCTAAATTACCCCAGTGGCAGCTACCTTCATAAGCAGGGTCTGGGCCCCTGTAGTCAGGCATCTAGTGGTCCCTGTTCTAGAGACTGAGGAATGTTCCCTGTCATGGGACCTGGCTTCTAAATGCTGGGTACTTCTCAGTCTCCTTCCAGGATATCCAGAAGCAAAGGAAGCAGGTTCTTAAAGAGTTTCACGGGCCTCGGGCACTTCCTCCAGACTCTCAATTCTCAAGCTGCCTTTCAGGCTTCTTCCCAGGGAGAATTTCCTAGACTGCTTTGCTTCCTGCTCAGGGACATTGGCCCTGAATTTCATGCATTTATCTGTCAATGAACATGACAATGGTGGCCAGGTCATCTTTAGGAGATTGGTTCCATGTTCCCTGTGGATAGCCAAATGCACAGATGCTGGAGTTCCTTAAGCAGTTCAATGGAGTATTTGAATAACCTCCCCACAGCCTCCCCAGAGCTGTCCTTCATCTCTAGATGACCTGTCATACTAACAAGCAAGTGCCAGGGAATTCGTTGTTACAGTGCACTGCCTACAATGAGGAGAGTCAGTCTATGTTCAGTACAGGGGTTTGCTTGCTCTGAACACTCTTGGTCTGCAGAGGCTGAGAAATCCGTGGGCTCAAGGGGCTGACCCTTCATCTTAACCTTTACAGTTGCCTTAGCCATAGCAGTGATAATCGTGATCAGCATAGAATACTCATCAATCAATATCTGGCTGCTTCGAAAAACTAAATGCCTCCATAATAAAATTTTCAAAATAATCTCAAGTCATAAATAAATAACACCAAATAAAAACAAAACAAAAACAACACTCTATGAAAGGGCCTCCGCTGGTAGGAACTCTATTAGGATGACGTGCGCCGGCTAACAGAGTAGGCATGGGCCAGCTCCTTACACACGCACTTAACAGACTGCAACTTCCGCTTCTCAGTCTGTTAGCATTAAATCTAGGCCAGAACCAGTTCAAAGAAAATCATTAGTAAGAAACTAGATTATTGGTGAAAGAGACAAGCATAGAAGCAAAGGACAATGACAAAGTGAAAGGGTGCTATGCAGAGACAGCCAGCAGAGATAAGGTGGGAGAGGGGCTCTAGTCACAATTCTCCAGGCCTAATGCAATGCCTTTAGAAAACGGAAAGGGGAGTGCTCATGGCACACTGCGGTGTCTGTGCTCCATCTTGATGGGTGGTGTGTGTGTGTGTGTGTCTGTGTCTGTGTGTGTGCTAGGAGTGTGTATGTTGTATGTCTGCACAATCATGCAGCACTGAGACAAAGAATAATTCACAGACTATCCTGACTGACAGCACTGAGCATTTGCCTGGATTATGTCAGGAAGATTGTTATTTTGTGACTCGAGATTAGAATATTGCACACCAGAACAATATCTACAGCCCTGAAGTTATTTTCCTAAATAATAGATTATTAGTTAGGTAAATGCTGGTGGTTTTCACTAAGTGCATGTTAAAGTTGACTCCATCAACAGTACCCACAGTTCACATGTTTCTGCTGCTCTAATGGTTTTAAGAAACCAGATTCATCTCTGATATCATATGCCTCTAAGTCAATGGACATGTCAATAAGCCTCAATGGACACTGACAGAGAAACAGGGGCAGCCACTGGTCCCAAGGTATTCACAGTCCAAATAGCAACTGACACCGAGGACACATGAAGCAGATGAAGCTACAGTAAGTACCACAATCCTCTCAATAAGGCCAGAACGCCAGCATCCGATGCCCTCAGGGGCAGCTTCCTGCATGACAAGTTCCCCAGTTGGTGAGCTTGAGCTATTACTGTACACATATGTCTATACATATATATATTTGCATACATAGGTACACACACACATTTTCTAAAGCCTTCAGTGGAGATTGTTGGGGTAGCTCAGTAATAGAGTGTCCCTAACACATACAAAGTTATGGGTTCAATCCTCAGCACTGCAAACAAACAAACAAACAAACAAACAACATCTGATAACTTCTACTCCTCACCTCAAAATGAACAAATAGGTAGCAGCCATTGAAGAAAACCTCTTCTTGCTACATGACAGGCACGTGCTTACATAGAATGCTCTGATATTACCACAGATATCTGAATCTAAGATCCAACCCTATAATTTAAAATTAAGATTATAACAATGATGATAATAATTACAATTATAATTAAGCACATATACTGTTTCTATAAGGCATCTTGGTGAACACCAGTGTCTCACCAGATACCTCAAAGAACATCACAAGTCACTCCAAGGACCAGGGCACATCTGTAAGCATGGAAAAATGTGTTACAGAAGGTCTAAAGCCTCTGGATTAGCCAGCATAATGAGAAAACTATGACAGAGGCAAAGGGTGGACTCCCCAGTGAAAGGCTGGGTTGAGAATAACATGTGCTTTGAGTCGACTTGACCGTTCTCTGAATTCCAGGGACCACTGAGGTCCACGCCCACCTTCAATCCTGGTGAAAGCGAGTTTTTTCTTCCCTAACTTTGTGTGAATATGTTTTCACAAAAACAAGACGACACTGGCCAGATTTTAATCTTTGCTACCTAGAAGACACCTAGGCAAATAGCAAATTTAAAAGCTTGATGTTCTGTATACTAGGTTTGATCTACAAAGAGGGAAGCTGCATAGAGGGATGGCCTTTATCAGATGGCCTGCAGACCGGTCTGTGGAGGAGGCACTTCTTGATTAATGATTGATGTGGCTGATGCTATCCCTGGGCATGTGGTCTTGGGTTGTATAAT